TTGTCAGCACCATCCTGTTCTTGCCATGCATAGTTACCAACCTCAGCTTTTTTACTTCACACTGTGCTAAGCATTTCATTTCCAAAATGGGCCTCTATTAATGCTCTACCCCAAGCTTCTTGCCTGATCATACAGTAACAATTCAATACAGTTTGTAAGTGCAAAATCAGAACTCAATGTAACAGAATACATCCTACCAGCTGAGAAAAATCCTGTTCACTGGAAGGATCTTCTAGTCAAAGGAAATCATGCGAACTATCCCACACTAATAATTTAACAAGTATGATGTTAATGTATATGGGTATTCTAAAGAGTAACAAAGACTAATAAGTTTTGGACTGTCTTAAATTTACCTAACAACAACAAAAATTACACCCAAAACCCCAACCACTCAAACAACAGAATCTGCACTTTTACATTACATAATTTCTGAAGTTTTACTACTTTTCAAACCAACTCAAGAGCATGCATAACCATATTTATTTTAAAACACAGGAGCAGACACATGGCCTATCAGTCAATACCAGAAAAGCCAAAAGAAGGAACAAGTAAAAGATTAAATGAACTACTGCATAAAACAGTATTTCTTTCCTACACATTAATCACTGTTTTTCTTGAATTCTGATTTATCATAGGCAAGAATCTTAGTTGCTTGATACATTTCCTATGTTAGAAATCCACACAAAATCACTGGTGCCCAAGACTTACTGTCAATTCCTTTGGCTGACAGGTAGCCAAAATTAGCAAAAGTACAAACCTCCAGCAATTTAATCAGATAATTCCTGTTCCAGAAACTTTCTCTTCTAGCAACTGAAACTTCCCATCACCTTCTCACCATTTCCAATCTTATATTTATTGTCAATCAGCATAAGTGTATTTATTTTAGTAAAAGTATTGCATTTCACACTTTCTTTGTACTTGGAAATCTGAAAGTATGCATAGCAGATGATTCAAACAAAAAATGTCTAGTGATGCTACCTCAATTATAAGGGAATGATGATCTGCCCTTTCAAAATTAAGAAACTTTCTAGCAACTGCAGAGTGGTCATCTGAGAGAGCTGTGCAAACAGGCAAGAAGTTAAAGAGAAAAGTATTAAAACTGTCTGAATTGCTATCCTGTTCATTTACCTAGTACAATAAAACAACCTAATAGTCAAAATAAAATACAAAAAGACCAGACAGGTTTCTAATAGCAGCATACAGGCCAAATAAGCACAGTACTGCCAACTCTATAAATGAAGAAGGCCCTGCTAAGAAGCCAGATGTAGCTAGTGGAATATGTCCTACAGCTTGGCATCATGGCACTTTATGTTCCACACAGAAATGACAAGGAAAGCATAATACTGTATATTTTATCTGGCTAGATGAGTGTTTTCTTCTGATTTTCTTTCAGTCCATTTAACTTCTCCTGTGAAGGAATAAGCAGATGCAAAGAACTGATACACTCAAATTCAAGACTCAAAAACCTACTTATATGAGCACATTTTCTTTCATTGTACAATCATTCAGTTCAGTAACATAATTAACTTAAGATTTTTGGTTTTTAGAGAAATAACATTTATCATTGTTTAGTAACTCAACTGTCTCTGTAGGAATACACACTTGTAACATTGTCAAATTCCAACTACAGAGATGCCACACTGGTTTCAAATGATAGTGCCTTGATAGTGCCAAGGAGAAACTTTCCACTTCCTAGTTAAACTAACACAATGTAGCTAATGACTTTAATGAAGGAAACAAAAAAAATTCCCGTCAACTATTTCTTAGTATTATGCAGACATAATTATGATTTACTGTCTTCAGAGAGCTATCCACAGCATTGTAAGCATTTATAGATCCGTGCAAGTCACCAGTTTAGTAAATATTCAGTGGTCAAACAAATGCTAAGAATAAACAGAAACACTGAGTTACACTGCAGAAGAAAAATGTGCATTACTGAGTTTAAGAAATATTTACAAATATCCCTCATAAGAACTCCATCTCCAATTTGAACTCTGAATTTAAGTTTGAAGTCCTGTACACAATGTCGCAATGACATGTTAGGCCACAGCCTAACAGCACAGCTGCAGCAATACTGCTGGCAGTGAAATATTACCAAAGCTCCCACTTCACTGATCGCAGCGTAGGCAACTGGTAACACTATCCCTAGACATTTCGCTCTAGTATTCAGAAAATGGTTTAGATCAGACATGCATCCTCGTGAGTGTCACGAGGATGGAGCCAGGCTCTTCTCGGTGACAAACAATGACAAGACAAGGGGTAATGGACACAAGCTGGAACACAGGAGGTTCCACTTAAATTTGAGAAGAAACTTCTTCTCAGTGAGGGTGACAGAGCACTGGAACAGGCTGCCCAGAGAGGCTGTGGAGTCTCCTTCTCTGGAGACAGTCAAAGCCGCCTTGACGCCTTCCTGTGCAACCTCATCTAGGTGTTCCTGCTCCGGCAGGGGGATTAGACTAGATGATCTTCTGAGGTCCCTTCCAATCCCTAACGTTCTGTGATTCTGTGAAAGCAGGGTTAAAGAGCTATGATTAAAACGTCCTACGTAAATGTCCTAACATTCTCAATATGGCTAATTTACTTATTCTGAAGTTTTCCCTATAAATCCTCAGCTTATCCTGGAGCAAAACCACAATACTTGATTTGGCTGCAAAACACTACCACAGACATGATTGTGATCTTACTACAGACAAACACTATCAGTCAGCAAAACCTAATTCTGACACACTTAAATGATGAAGACAAAATGTAAATATTGAAGAAGTCTGCATACATTCCCAGCTTGTTTTGACATGAGATTTCATCTAAGTGTTTTGTATTTAAAAGGCAAAATAAGCATTTTTAAAATATGGTACTGCTCATCTCATAGAAGATTACTTTTACTGCCTTCTCAGTAATTGGCTGAATAGTTACAGAATTTACAGAAGCAGCAATACCTTATATATAGACCCTTCCAATGTTTTCCAAAGAAATCTTAAATTCAGTCCTTGCTCACAAGTAGTGTGAAAAATTAATGAAATACATGAATTTATTTAGATCGGTGGAGACAAACCAAGAGGTAATACAGAAAGCCAAAAAGCTGCCGTATTTTTCCCTTTTGTTTCCTTATAAGCCAAGAGGGGAAAACAAAAACAAAGGACTTACAGTTTCAATAAAGAAAATATTCCTTATTATTTCCTTAAAATCTGGACAAAAGAAGTATCAAAAAGTGATCTATTATTTACTTTTTTCATCTTGATTAATACAGATTGAGTTCTCTAGTTCTTGAACTACTGAACTTACAAAATTAAAAAACCCATTCTGAATGGTTGTGTCCATAGAGTAATCACATAAAATGTGAAGACAGATAATTAGAACATCAATTTTTCTTAAGCTATTTACAATTATTTCATATAAACTTACTTTTGGGGATACTCTTTATGAATGACAGATTACAAGTTTACAAAATCAATATTATTTATAAGGAATGTTTTTTTCTTTCCCCCTCTTGTATCTTCTGCTGTTTAAGCTATCAGCTGTGAAAGTACAAAGGTATAATAAAGCTTATAATTAAGTAAGTATGCTACAAAATTATATCTATTTTTAAATAGTTTTAAAAATTCATAAAAACCCAGGTAAAATACTCTGTCAAGAGATGTACACATGCTTAAAGTATGCATATATAAAAAAAAGTCCACTTCACTGAGGACACACAAATCGAATCAAGACTAAGAAATAAATTCAAAACCTAATGCTACCATACATGAATGAATTCCAGTATTTTTGAAGTATTTTATTTTACTATTTTCTGGTTAGTTAGCCATGCTATAGCATTCACAAAAATTCTGACTTTAAGAAGAAACCTCACCTGTGTATAATAGTGATCTAATGTACACATTTATTATGAATTAACAGGTAGCACTGAAAGAGCAACATACACAAAGAGTCCACATCTGCATAACTAACGGTGGCCATGTACATATTTCCCCCCTCGTTCTTCATTTATCTGAACAAAACAGACAAATATTGGCATCTGATTTTTTATTTTTTGCAACAAATACATGCTTTTTATTAACATATCCTGATGCTGACTTAACATGATTCCTACAATTTACACAAACCCTAATAATACTATAAGTGCTGTCTGAACATAAATAACCTGCTATTTGTACCAAGGCTACAACCTTCTGAAGACTGAGCAGAGTCATTCTCCAATTGTGTTCAATTTTAACACGTGCACAATTAACGTAAGCAGCCTTAAGAGAGGCAACACACACAACAGAATATTATGCTTCATTATGGTGATTTTTTGCCATGGAATTTAAATAGCAGTGTGCATCACTGCAATGTTTCACATTCAAACCAGAAAGCAAGAGGGTATGATCTGTAACAATTTCCATTACAGTTTGGGGAAGCCCTGTAATCTAATGCCTGCCCCAACCACAAGAGTTATTTCACCCTCTTGATTTCCAAACCTCAACATTTCCTACAAGCAATTTCCATTTCTCCGTAGTTAATTTTAACTCACTGACAGCCACCTCACTCTTCTTACTCATGTGTACCTTATTTTTTGCATGACTGACCTGTTTGTCTATTACACTGAAAAGTCCACTAACAAAGTTTTATTTCACTACAAAATCAAGCTTTTAGTAATTCTTGTGGAAGCTCAGCAAACATTTTCTAGTTCAGCAATATCCTTGAACTGACTGTGGTCAGCAAGAAACTAACAGAATACTGCAGTAGCAGCGATATCACTAGAAAACAGGATATAATTCTACCACTCCTGCCTGAGATCCCTTTTACACAGAGAAGAATGATACTAGTCTTCCAACTTTGTTTCACAATAGAAACTCCTACTTTAACTAGAATTTAATGAGTATGAACATTCACTTCAGGAGATGTCATCTTCTACCTGCATGATCTACATATTTTTTGTTCTGGGTGTATAATTTTACACGTTACATTATTCCAACGAGAATAACATCAGTGGGGAAGATAAATAAAGTTACATTCTCTCCTACCTTCAAAAGATGCTTGCCAATTGTTGGACTCATTTTTTCATCCACCATAAGAATTACTATTCCTCTGTCATCCATACCTCGGCGTCCTGCACGACCTGACATTTGAATGTACTCACCTGAGGATATCTAGGATAAACCAAGAAAAAGAAAAGAAAATTAACAAACATTAGAAAAATAGCAAGAACATACAAAGTGCTACTTGGAATTATACAGTAAATGACCATAATGCATAATAATCAGCAAAGGAGAGTTATCTAAGACACAAACTTTTCACAGATTGAATTAACTATTCATAATTGATCCCTAAGCTACTAAGACACAACTCCATGGCTATGAATAACATATGTCAGCAGTGTCAGTTAACTAATACTCTCCTAGCTACAGTGATTTCCATTACATAGAGAATCATTTCAATAAGCACAAAAAGCATTTTACTAAAGTCTTATGTGATGGAAAGTTGCTGGGCGTTGTGGAGATTATTAAAATATAATACATCTTCAACATACTAATAATGCATCTTCACCACCTTCAAATAAGGTACCATTTCATTCAAATGTTTCAAATATAATATTACATTACTGATACCTAGCAAGAGCAGTATTTATGTGCCTACTAACAGTGAAACTGAAGAGGTTATTAAGAATTGGGTAATGGAGAAAAGCCAGCTATAACTGATTCCCTATGTCTCACTAAGTTTTAAAACAATTTTTTCTTGTCACCTGTTGAACTTGCATTCCCAACAACTTCCTGAGTTTCACTTTAAGTTAGATCTCAAAAACTACTTAATGAAACTGTGCCAAATAATTTAAAAATAAGTTTCACATATCTGATACCTCAAAGCTAGCTAATTCTTGCATATATCTTAAGAACAAGCAACCAGACTGAATTAATCATGAAACTGAACAGCCCAAACTAAGATTGAAGAGATGTTTGCTTCATAACACACATCACTTGTGTTGTTTACTTCAATTTTCCCATCTGTGAAAGATGAACCACGACACTTATAAAATTTTGATGTGATGACCCGTACATTCTTATAATTATTTACATGTGACTCACATATCTGTTTCTAAAGTTTAAAACTTTTTAATTTTTTGTTTTCCAGTTGTTCAAGAACCTGTCTCTCACTCTGCACATTTCTGTCTTTGTGTGGGCTACCCAAGATACTCTGCTCTAAAAACAATCAAAACTCTCTTGAGGTAAAATACCTATTTTCTTGGCTCTGTCCAAACACAAATTTTGTGATCACTGTGATATGATACTGAGCCCACTTACTGTCCACATTCCTCTGACACAGAAGAAAACACTTGGGTCTCAGTTTTGGACAAGTTCTGCAGAGTCTTAGCCTAATGTAATATCCACCACTAGCCTGTGTGTGATGCCCTTTTGCTCTATCTGTTAAAATTACGTCACGCATAATCTGAGGAATCTTGTCTTCAGGAATTTGCACAGTAATTATAAAAGGAATAGTGAACAAAAACATTTTTGAAAATATGTTTTCTAGTACAGTGGATATGTCAAGAGTAAATTAAATCCTAATGAGGTTTAAAATAATGCAATTCTGTCATTCTACAGAACCTGTTTTTCACTTACCCATCGGAAATCCTTTCCATCAAATTTGCTGGCACTCGTAAATAGCACAGTCCTGGCTGGCATATTAATTCCCATAGCAAAAGTCTCTGTTGCAAATAAGGCCTAAATAAACAGAGGAAGTTAAACAAGAAAAACCAAAGGCTCTTAAGCAAATGTGCAAATAGTCAGAGACTGCTACACAGAACGTCTCCAGATCTTACTACTTAGGTACAGTCAACATAGGAACATAGCACATTCAATATTTACAAACTGGACAAAAACCATTATTTCCTCCATCCCTTATTTCCTCTGGGAAAACATGAAAACTAGTTACGTGGGATCATGTGAAAGACCCCAAAAGAAAACACAAAGGAGTGCAAATTTTATCAATGGAAATAATAGTTAATTTCCACATGCAAAGCTTGCAAGAGGAAAATAGCAGCTAGTTACCTCCAAAAAAAACCCTACAACTTTCATCTAAGGTTACATTTTTCTGAATGAATGTCCTTTAGGGCAACAAAAAAACAGCTTGGAAAATGCCTACAGTCATTTACAGGAGCAAAACATATCATGCAACATTTGAAGAAAATGTTAAAAGCTAGACATAAATTTAAATACTTTAGGATAAAATCTGGAACACTTAGATCTAGAGCTGTAATTGTGCACTAACATAATACATCTAAGGCAAAGTATTAAAGACTACAAACTTTCCCTTACAGAGAGGAAAAAAAACAAACCAAAAAAACAGCTGCAAGGATTTTTTTCAGATAAAGATGGAGGCATTTATGCAAATATTTGCATTCAAGAGAATGTCAACTAGTTACATCAATCAACCTGTGCCACTGGAACACTTACAGATTTCCAGAGGTCCATTTGTAGAACCCAGTATGCAGATCCACAGAATGGAGCCTTTCCTTTCCTATGTGTGTAGCTCATTTTAAAACTGCCTACTTACTAGTCCACAACGATTAAAAAAAGATTGCTTCCTGCATAGAAGCACATTCAAAACACATTTTTCAGTTTGGCATGCGCAATGAGTCTTTCACCTTTTTCAGTTAAGGAGCAGATGTTCACTACAATACTAGCATAGGTTTTGAGCTAAGACAGACTTCTCATTTTCTCAGGAAAATTCTCTGTGAATTCACCACAGAGAAAAACCTAAATATGAACACAAAATATATACCTTTATTAGGCCCTCAGAGAAAAGAATTTCTATGGTTTCTTTTAAGATAGGAAGCAGACCACCATGATGGATACCAATTCCTCGCTTCAGAAGAGGAAGTACATGCTCCACCTGGAAAGAAATATATAAAGACCAGTATACAAATTTTAGTATCAGATACTAAAAACATAAAACATGTATGGAAAACCTCAACACTGCTCTTAGTGTGATCTGTAAATACAAGAAATACTCCTTCAGTATTATTTTCCAGTTAGAGCTAGGAATGATATGAAGGGTAAAGCCAGAGGCCAATCCTTTCACTAGCAGATTACTCTTAAATTGGGTCAGACCAACTGCGAAGCTACACTCTAATTTACACATGCAATTAGTATCCAAATTAGCCTTTATAAAAAACAAAGCCTCACTTAAAATAATTATTGGAAACAGTGATCCTGGTATGCACTAAATATTTTGTTTCAATTTTACCTGCGGTGATTGCACTTATTGATATGTGCTGTAAAACAGTGAAGTCAGCACCTATGAGAGCCATACGTGGTAATTCAGGCTGCAAATTACTGAAGTAATCTCTCTAAAAATCTAAACCCACCATACTTTAAACAAATACCTACATAAACTTAGCTTTGTCTCTGCTTTTTTTTCTTTGAAAACAAAGATTCTCATTAAGAATCTATTAACACTTGGTTACCACCCCAAACCTTATTCTGAGAATATGCTTTTGAGATACTATTGTCCACAGAGACCAAACCAGATTACATGGATATAATGCCACTTTTATAAACTTACCAAACAAACTAGCACATAACACCCTACATATTGGATTCCTATTTAACATTTTTCTCAAGTTCACAAACAAAACACGTATGTTGATCCGAAGCAAGTAGGCAAGGCCAACAACTGAAGGTTTATTTTTTTTCGAGGAGAGAGAGCCATGCTCACAAGAAAAACATACATTAAGAAATGGTGAACACAAATAAATAAAGAGCCAGGTAAAAAGAAATTACAGACTCAGTATTTCTTTAAAAAGTACTGAATCCTGTAATATTCTGTCCACTTCGAAGCTTCTATTTTCCCACCATAAAGACAGTCACTATGTTTAGTCACCATACAGTAAATCAGAACGCAGAATCAATTCAACTTTTTGAAAGGCCTAGCAGTCGATCCTGATAAACTGCACACTGCACTCACATCTGAACTATTTCCAGATTGTTTTAACCCAGATATATCTCTTTCTAAGCCCTTATGTTTACTTAAAAACATAATTAGAAAAAAAAAAAAACAACAAAAAAAACACAGGGTAGGAACTCCGAAGTTGTTTCTGGCATGTCATTTGCTGGAATCACAACTGGAAGGAATCCTAATCACTGAGTCCTACCTCACAATACCAATGAGCAATGTAAGAAACATTAAAACCCGAGGAGATGAATGAGAATACCCAGTTTATTATTTCTGTACTCACTACAAAAGATCCACAGCCTCAAAAGCTGCAGAAAACAAAAGAACAGCATATACCTCTCTTCAATCTCCACTCACCTGAGGAAGTTTTTTGTCTTCATCTGATAGACAATCAATTGCATTATTGAACACTTCTTCAACCATCTTTTTTTCTTCATCTAAGAAGGCAATTTGTAATTTATTACAAGACCTAGAAGACTAATACCATATGTAAACAAAGCACTTGTAAATACAAAGTATTTACAAAAGTTTACAGTAGCAGTAATGTGGAAGACTGTTAAGTCTACACAAAACCACCCACATCGGGTCAGACAATCAAGACTTGAATGTCAGCCTGAAGGAATCTAACAGCAACCAGAAGTAGGTGCTCAGGGAGAAAGAAAACAGAACAAACCCAGCAGAATAATCCATACTTCTGCTATTTCCAAGTTTGGGATTCTCCCGTTTTATGTACATTCTGCATATTTCATAAACCTCCCCACTTCTGCCCGCTAGTGCCTGTCTGCATGGACATAGAGGCCTTTCCTCTTCCTCATTAATTCTCAGAGTTTATACTCTATCTACTTAAGTAGTACAAAAATCAAGAATACATATTCAGAGATATGATAGAAGAAAATATATAAAAATGTATCTCTGCACTTGTGCATATCTTTACATTTTCTGACAGAAACAGTTGCACTGCTTTGTAACACAGAACTAGAACATGCAAAGGCTGGAGCAAATAAGCAATCAAGAACCTTGAACAGTTTACAAACATAAAATGATACATTGATTTACAACTAATTCCTTGTTTTTGTAACAATTCTCAACATTTTCAAGAAGCAATAAACTGAAAATTATTTTCCAAACATGGTCTTAATCCAAAATGAAAAAAATCTCTTTTGTTTTTTACTTTAAGGAGACAAGGAAGGAAAGAAAGAAAACTGGATTGAGTAGTTGAGAAAGAAGAGTCTAGTAGTTTGTTACGCAGTTGTTTTGACTCTGAGAGAATATTCACTTTTATAATGGACATAACAGGAAAATTTTGGGAATAACATTTGTTATAATTCCCATTATAGACAGATTTTTCTAGGAACCCTTGTGATATTAATACAGTGAAAGGATTTTGGAGAAAGAAATAAAGTTTAAAACAGAGGAACAATTCAACATTGTGATGACTAAGTACTCTGTGCACCAGCAGTTTCCTCCTGAAAACAGCCTGATAAATCAAAAAGTAAAATATATTTTTCATCTATTTTTACATTAGAAGTCCCAAAGGAAATAGAAGTATCTAACCAAAGTAACATTTCACATCAAACTACAATTTTGAATAAAACTTTATTTATCTGTACCTGTATTAAAATCTAACTTTGTCATCTGAAGTGCATACGCTTCACAGTCCTTCTTACTGAAGCTGAATATAATCACAGGTTGGAAATTCCTTTCCATGATCATCTTTACAATCTTAAAAACATTTGAAGGACCTGCAGAGAGATTACATTAATTTATATGTAATTTTAACAAAAGTATCTTATGGAATAAATGAGACACAAGCACAACCTGTGTACAACTTTGTTGTATTACACAAGAAGTTACTTTCTAATGGGATTCAAACTCACCTTTTGTTCCTCCTTTTCTCCCTTTCTGGTCCCCTTTTGCTAAGTCTCCTGCATCTCTAAGCACTTGCATTGCTGTATTAAAATTATCTTCTCTGAAATCTCCCTAGATATAAAACACAACCTTTGTAAGCAACTACTTCTTACACAGACCACTTAAAAACATTTAGTGTTTTGCACAGCCAATACCATTACCCCATATTTACAGACAGAGGGACAAAAGCAACATGTAACCTAGCAAGTGAGTTTACTAGGACAGCTCAGTGCCACTGTGTCTCCAAAGTTATTGCTCATTGTTCTGTTCACACCACCATCAAGCATGACAGACCTGCTGAATGACACACTACCAAAACTGATTTTCAGGAATGTCTACATGAAACTATGCTGCCCAATGAAGATCTAGCTTCAAGAGCAGTACTACTGTTAATGGCATTACCTATTGCTGTGCAAGCCAATGATGAATTTTAAGCAAGACACTACTTCAGAACCATCCTAAAGACACCAAAATATTTTGTCCTCTCAACTGAAGTAATATTTAAATGCTACTATGTCTTATTTTGAGTGAGAAACAGTGCAAGAAACATCAGCTGTTTTGCAGATTTACAGAAGGCAGCATGCAGCTTACAGAACAAAGCAAGGATGAGGGCATTTAAGACATATCAGCAAAGTATCTCATCTGGCTACGTGATTACATGACACAAAAACTCTCTCTTCTGCAAAACTCCAAAAATCTAACAGCAATTCACTGCCACTTGTACTGCATTTTAAGACAAACATTCCTTGTATAGCAAATCCAAATTTTGCAAGAGATCAAGCTCATGACCGATATGCAAGGAAACAAACATACAAATATTACTCACATTTTCATCAACAACCAGATGGAGTCCATCTCCTCCTGCTGGGAATATATAATGCTGCAGTGGAGTGGGTCGATAGTCTGTGTAAATCACATGGCAAGGCTATAAAGAAAAAACAGCACACACATTAATATTTACTGTTTCTAACTGCATTGTAAGAACACTTGCTTACTGGAAAATCCAATATATTACTATTAAAATCTGTCTTTCTAAAAGCCAGAAGGTAATACTCACAGAAACTAAGACAACAGATTTTCTTTCCCAAATATGGATTGTGTACTAATGACATTGCTTAACAAAATGAAAATTTGCAAATTCCTTAAAAGAATACAAGTTGGCCACAAAAATTCTTTCTCATGAACACAGAAAGTAGGGACAGGTAATATCACCTTCTGTATTATTACACAGACTCAAAATCCTAATACCTTTCAAAACCAGAAGGAAAAACTGCTAATTTATACATTGCAAAAAAGCCTGCAGTACTTCTTACACCACATAAAAAAGGCACATAGCAGACTTTTAGAAACATTTAACATTTTAATGCATGGAGAAAGCTTGTTAAGAAAAAAATAAAACACTTCCTTTAAAAGATTAAATATTATGTAAATCTGCTTTAAATAAAATAAATTAGAGTCTAGTGTTCTGTAAAACGAAGTCAAGGTTTTGTGCCAAGTTTAAATAGATATCTCTTATACTACACTCCTTTCATCACAAACATAAGAATCAATCTTTGTGGTATTTTTAAAATCAAACCAAACTCTTGCGGATATTAACCTCCCTAATTCTAATTCTCATCTTCTTTGCTGCAAAATCATATCTTAAAAAAAACAGAATAAAATAAACCTAATGGTTACAGGACAGGATAGAATTCTTACATTCCTCTTTTCTCACTTTGTTTGCATGCATATGTAGTATTTCCCATGGATTCAGGATTTACTTTTGATTTCCACGTGACCATTTTACAGAGCTCTTAATAAAATTCTCTTAATAACCTCTTGTCTATAAGCTCTCTGAAAATCATAGTTCATTCTTTGCATTTCATAGTTCAGAATGGTTATTGAAATCAAGCTGGTGTCTAAGTGTGGAAAATAAACTTCAAGGAAATAATGCTATGTAGAACCAACAGCCAGTATAGTCGCAAAAGCGAGGAGTACAGAGAAGCCAGGTATGATATACATCATTGCTTATAAGCATTAAGATGTCTAAAAAGACACTCAAAGATTCAGTGCTCATCAACCAAACAGACAGTATTATGCCACAAGGATGGAGGCATCATAAACATCACCTGTTTGTGAAGGTGGCAGATCCATTCAGCAAACTGACGGGCATTTGGAATAGTTGCAGAAAGGAACACATAATGAACATTGTCAGGGAGCAAAATAATTGTCTCTTCCCAAACCACACCACGTTCTGAAAATGGAAAAGTCATAGGGGAAATGGATGTTATTAAAGCCTATTTTTCAGGTCTGAAGCCTAACAGCATGCTAAGGACAAAATAAACTACAAAAAACCTTCTCTACTCAAATAGGATGTATCAAATGCCCTCAAAGTGCCTTGGCAAAGAAAATGCTCACTGCAACACACAGTAACTATCTTATATATATTCAGTAGAAAACAAATTCTGAATGATACTTGAGAAGAAAAATTGTACAAATAGAAAGAAAAATTGTACAAATAGAATACCTGAATCTCTCATGTAGTGGATTTCATCAAAAATAACCCATGCGACTTCTCGCATAACCTCAGAACCTCTGTAGAGCATACTTCTCAAAATCTAGAAAAAGAAAAAAATGGAGATCCGTCACAGGAAATAATGAACAGTCACATTACAGAAATGTCAGTAAGAAACCGCCAGCATTTTCTGGTTCACATTTACATGGCAATATGAAATCTTATTTTGCACAAAACTTAAAATAATTTAAAGGTTGGCTGTGAGACGCTTTCAAGTTGATTCCAGTCTAACAAATTGGTTTCCCTGCAAGGCCAGTGAAGGAACATGAAAGAAAAAATGTTATTTTTCTTCCAGCCTCTACGTGGCAGCATATTTGCTACTGGTCTATAGGTCTATTTCTGCCAAGCTGCCTTCTTCTCTCATCCTAATAGATAAACTCTCTGTGATTAAGAGGAAATCTTTTGTCAGAAACCAAGTCATCCTGCCTCTCCACCCCAATCCTTCCCTACCAAAGTTTTCTCCATAAGAGTCTTTACTCCTTTAAGGTAAATACAGAGAGAGGAAAATTCCAACTCATGACTGGATAGATTTCTACAACAGAAATATGACAAAACCGTGCCAACAGTTCATTGTTACTAAAGATGAAAAGCTGTATATTCCTGGAGTGCTAGCACCGATCATGAACCACTCCACTATTGCTCAATGTTTTTCCTCTCCCTGTTTTTCCTCTAGAACAAAATACTGACCATACCGGATTCAGCAATACCGACTTTCAGTACTTCACATCCATCCAAAGAAAACTCAGTGCCTTGAGAGTCCATGAAATTAAGTTCTGCCTTTCTTCATGTGAGAAAAAAGTTCCTGACCAATAGTTCCAAAGCATGAATTTACAGGCATTTAACCAACTTTCTCAATAACCAAAAGTTTAAACATTGAAGAGAGGCATAATCAACTTTCTAACATTTTCTACCCTAATTGTGTTTATTAGGATAACTTGAATCTTTTAGTATCAGATCTTCTCAGTCAAAAAAGGACAGAAGAAAACACAGATAGATCAAGAATCAACGTCTGATCTTACCTCGGTTGTCATGACCAAACAAGAAGCTGTAGGATTAATGGTGACATCCCCAGTCATCAAACCAACATCCTGAAATTCTTCATACATCTCACGGTACTTCTGATTACTCAAAGCTTTAATTGGACTCGTAAATATCACACGCTGTTTCTCCCTCAAAGCCAGGGCAATTGCGTACCTGTATTCAAACGTTGTACACATTAAATTTGTCAGAAAAACATTCAAAGCATATTATTTTCCTCTAATCTTCTGCTTAAAAAAATTGCAGTTCAGAACACCAGTAATGATATGAAGCATTTAATATCTTAAGTTTAGTGCAATCTTAACTCAATTATGTATACCTCTTTGGAGAGTGACAAATCATTGCAATAAGTTAACTCATTTTTATAGATGTCACAGCATATCTGGTTTAATCTAAAAAACTATCATTGTCACATAACTAGCTATTATTTGAACCCATGCTCTAATATAGCTACATGTACATCTCACTTCTCACCTGAGATCAGCAAAACCACTCTACTGTCAGACCAAACCCTGACAAAAAACAGACACTATTTTTCAAATATTTCTTGTCCGATAAAGTTGTAAATTAAGTCAAACCAGTACTTTTGACAAATCAAAGCAAATATAAAAGAAACTCCTTATTAGCTATAGTCAGAGGCTAGAAAACAAAGATATTTTTTTCTAAATTCATTCAAATCTCTATTGCTGAAATTGTCTTTTCAGTCTATACAGAAGTATCTCAACAAAACCAGATTGCTTAAAAATAAAAGGTAAGCTTAAACACAAATTAAACATTTAACTACCCACTAAACAAGATGAAAGAATAATTTTTATATCCAGGACATGTCAATTCAGTTCTGACACTGACAGTCCAAACGTTTTATTAAGAAACTGAGACACAACAGCTACTGATGCTTCAACAAAATGACAGAACAAACATCAAACCGTTCTCTTATCAGAGCCTGCTAAAAATTACTTACTCTGCACAAACAGTTTTACCAGCTGATGTATGAGCTGACACTAATACAGACTGGTTATTATCTACACAAAGAATAGCTTCTCTCTGAAAGGCATCAAGAATAAATGGATATTCCTGAAAAGAAATTAAGTAAAAACATTACATATTTTTAACACAGACTGTTACTTACATCCAATTTATTCTCTGACTGATTTAGTGTGCAAATTACAGGTAGAAACAAAACCCTTAGGTATCCATAACTTCATCTGGACTTAATTCAGTATTTTGCAATGACTTTGTATTTATATAATTTTATCTAACACCACCGTGAAGATCTTTGCTTACGTCTTCTTGTCGAATCAAATGAAAACATTGCCTCGATGACTGAATTTTCTCTAGTTTACTAATTTAGGAAGAGAAACTGCAGTGTATGACTGAAGCCACCATGTGATGTTGAAGAATAGAATGGAAATCACAACAGTCTATCCACCCCACATCATTTCACTCTACTGAATTCAAAATATAAAACAACAATCTTGCTTATGACTGGCCATCTTTTCAAGATACTCTTTTCCAAGCCTTACAGACAAAGTACATCACTTTTTCCTATACCCTCATCTATTGTCTAAAGTATAGGCAAAAAAGAAAACAAATTAAATCTATCACATACTTTTGCAGCTTTTCCAGTTCTTGGCTTCAGACCTGTGAAGTCTTCATCTGCAGGAAGTGCAACCTATAAAATACATTTTAAATAAAAACAGTTGCAGAATTCTTGGCAGCCACTCCAACGACAGAGCAAGCTGTGAAGAGCTGGGACGGGAGATATAAAGTGCACTAAAAATAATTTGAAGTTTTATTATTCTTTTTCTATGAGCTTATGTGTTGTGGCTTCCTTCCTCTCAGAGATTTTCAGCTAGTATCTCTATCCTCCTGTCCCAACAATGCTCCTCTCGCTTCTCTGATGCTCCCTTCTGTCCCATGTGAAATATTTCTCCTTTACCTACCTTAGAACAGCTCTTCAGGCCAAGACACAGTCATGGCTTCTGGCCAATGGACATTAGAAACAATTAATCAGCTCACATTGATCACACTTCCTTTCTGTGGCTCATGTATTTATACAGGTAAAGTTCCATTTACTGGCCAATATCTAATATTCATTCATACGGTATATTTAAGCTCCTTTCAGTTACTAAGTGATGGCAAATGTCTACCAGACATCCCAAAATAACAAAGATTCTACAGATGCATGGACTTTATACCTTATAATCAACTGTATATACAGTTCCTTTATTACAAAGGTGCTTTAATGTTACCTTAATTAACTTGAGCTAGTTCTGGAAGACAGCACAGAAAAGCAAATGAGCATAGAAGTACAAGGAGGTTAAAATTTACATGTGCAATTCTCATAGAAACTCTGACAATCCTGTTTGGAGGAAGGATGACTTAAAAAAATCAGCATCAATAATTCTGATTTTTGTTATTTGAAATTGTATTTATGTCTTTCAACACAATTTGAAAATAGTTTTCATTGTTTTGCTTTTACATGAAAAAGGACTTTCTTCCCTTTTAACCAAAATGAAATTTTCAACTGCAATCAGCCTTACAAGAAAGCCTTTCATTCTGGAAACAACAGCAAACTATTTCATGCACCGCTGCACACTCAGATCGCACTGTGAACACAGACCTATTTAAACAATCAGTAGGTTTTCCTTCTCAATAAAAGTACTCAGAATGTGCTTGGCACCTACCTTTCAAATACGGAAACTTATCAAAATTATCATCAAGTCTTTCACAATCACTCGTTTTATTGCAAGTATCATTCACACTGCTCCTGGTAAGATATCCTATTAATTTTCAAGTGCATTTTGTGCATGCTTAATGCCAGATACATACCTCAAACTCTTTATGTGCCTGTTCTGCCTTAAATATGAAATAATATATAAGTACAAGTGCAATAAGCAATATCATTATACTGGCAGTAATACATATAATCCCATGAAACAAGCCTATACTTTTCAGATGCATTTTCACTGCACTCACCTCATGTGTGCAATCTTCAACAGTCTCCACAGCTTGCACTTTTACTTGAGGCATCAGGTCTGCCAGGCTGAAAACATAAGATTGACAAAAAGGTATTTAAAAAATTTGTTTTCTTTATAAATGCAAAAATGCTTTGGATGAATTTATATGCCATTAATACTTCTAACCATTTATTGAACCAACATGAACTTCCAGGGTCCCAAGAACCTCTTAAGAGACACTAAGCTGAAAAAGTACCCACATTGTCCCTTCAAACTGTTTTCAAAATCCCTTATAACACTTGTCATGATGTATGTCTGCATCTCTTCTCTCCAGGACTTCAAGCACAGAAGTGGCATTGTGGCTTCCCTTCACCTACTTTATCTTCCCAGCTATCGACATGTCCAAGCATACCCAACTCTCCATGTCAAATCCTTGTCACCTGTGCTCAAATTTAAAAGCACATCTGCACTTAAGATTCTAAATATTTGCTGTTATAAATTCACGATATATCTTTGCAGTTATAATCTTATATGCCTAAAAAACCTTATGTCCTTCAGTGGTCTGGTTCACAGGAAGCCTGCCTCCTGCCATGTGCCTCACCGCTTATCTCTTGCTGCCTGCTTGAAATCAGCACGATGGCTTTGACCAAGAACCACCAATCCAAATGCAGTAAACACAAATACACAAACACTTCCTACTGCAGTTGCCCATCCGTCCACAATATTATTTTAAACATATCCAGCGCTCATCACTGCTGAAGCAGTACTACCATCACATCTTCACTTATACAGATAATGGAAAATCAACTTCATATGCAAATTCATCTTTATATGAACATACTGCAAAGTTATTTACATTGACTATTCACAACTGGCATATACCTAACTAGTATGTTTTCCTCTGATTCCTTACACATTAAGCTACGCACTTACTTAGCGTCTTCTGATACAACATCTTCCAATTTTGGCTTCTTTCCCAAAACAGCACCTTCCGCACTAATGACGTCAAATTCCCTTTTGGACTTCCCTGGTGCAGTTATGGAAGATTTTTCCTCTGATCGTCTCCTGCAACATAAAGACACAGTGAATTTTTTGCCTCTTTTATGTATTGAGAAAGGGATTAAAACTGCTGCTTGTAGGACCTTTGTGAACTCAAGCTGTAGACTCAGCAATCCCACAGATAAGCAGAAGGCCAGAGTACATTCTTTGAAGATAAATCGTAACCCCCAATTAAACAGAAACCCCTTTTTCTGTTCTAGTAACCCTATCTAGGAATGTCCAGGGATGAAATATAGGTATCCTGTGTTTGTGTAGCCACAGATGTTTAGAGAAATAGTGCAAATAATGCCCAGTTAACAGAATAAGAGACAAAATACACCTCCTTCTGGGAGTAAGGTGAAAAGTTTACAGCGATGAAGACAATAAGCCTTCATCCCCACGATCACCTGAAGACCATCAGAGGGTCGTAGGGCGCATGCCCAGATCGGAGGAGTTGTATGCTAATAATTTTCAGAGGAATCCCTGTTTTGTATTAATGAGTTATCAGATATCTCATGAATATGTATGAATAGATAGAATATAAACGATCACTTTGTAACAAGAAACTGGGAGTCACACAGAAACACAGAATCGCTTGGTTGGAAAAG